CCAGGCGCGCGTCCGTGCTGCAGGGCAGCCCCCCCCCCACACAGAGCAGCTGGGGCCTGAGCCCACCTCCCCTGTGCACCCAGGCCAGCATCGCCCATCCGACCATTCACAGCAAGGGCTGGAGCACGGGGAAGGTGGGCGCAGCGCCGAGCGGGAGCCGGGGATACACACATACACACCACCGGAGGTTAAGCAAAAGAGTGTTGGACACGCATAGACTAGGACGGCAGCGGGAGAGGGGCTGGTGTCATTCCAGCGGCTCGGGCTCCCAGGGTGTTGTTAGCACATACGCTTGTACGTGTAGATATAGGCCTTGCAGTTGGGACACGTGTGTGTCACATCCTTGAAGTCATCGAACAGGCAGGGGATCAGGCAGCAGCAGAGATCACACCTGGAGCACAGGAAGAGGCAGAGTGCTGTGAGCTCAGGCAGCCCCTGGGCACGGGGAGAAAGCGGGGGCGGTTCGCGCTGGGTCATGGGCGGAGAGAGGGGAGTCCTGGGACTTGCAGTCGTGCTGCAAAGGGCGGCACACTTCGTTAGTGAGCAGAGGTGCACTTCGCAGAGGGAAGGGACAGCTTGGTGAGATGCATGCAAGTGCTGAGGCCTGACCTACCGCCACTTTTTGGGACAAGCACCCCCCTGCCGCCCCTCCAGCAGCCCCCACCCCCACCAGCCCTTGGCCACAAGGACAGACCGTGGCTCCCTGCAGCGCTGCGGGTGCGGGGCTGGGGGACAGACAGCGCCTGCTCTGATGCCAGGGTCTACAGTGGGCCTTCGGAGGTGGCACCTTCCCCTCCCCTGGCAGGAGCCCAGGTCTCCAGGCACCGTCACCCCAGGAACCCATCTGCTGTCCCACCCAGTAACACTTCAGTGCTAAGACCCCCGCCATGGCCACCATCTCAGCCAAGGCCACCACTGTTGGGGCCACCAGGACTGAGCGACTACCATCACTGCAGGGCTGCTGGTAGCAGGGACGCCCCAGCACCTACCCCACAAAGCAGCAGAAGAAGCCAAGAAGGAAGCTCATGAGCCCAATCTCGTAGGTGATCTTGGTGGTGATGGCTTGCTGGCAGTGGGGACACACTGTCTGCACAGGGGCACCCTGGAAGATCTCTCCCTGCAGCACCGTCACTGTAGTTGCAGCCCCTGACGGGACGAGCACCGTCGCTGTGTGGCCGCCAGGAGAGGGGTAGTGGCCCGGGGGAGGGTAGTAGCCCATGGGGGGGTGAGGACCTGGGGGAGGGTAGTAACCTGCTGGGAATGAGAAACGTGCACAGGTGAACATCTTCGCATGAGGCAGAAGAGGCCAGACCCTCGCTGGGGGCTGCTGCCACACCACCACCTTGACTTG